CATCCGGCGAGCATTGACCGCTTTGTGCCTTCAAGCTTCGATAGAAAGCTCCACGCTGTGGATGGGATGCCGCAATGTGCGGCATGTAAGCGTAAATTCCATCAATGGAAAGGCCTACGTGACCACTTGCTTTCGGGGGCATGTCCGGAACCTCAGAAGCTCCGTTCACTAAAAGAAGCAGACAAACAGTCCAACCATCCCGATATTAGGACTCTCTTCCAGCTGAGACAGGACATTGCTCTGCTCCCACAACACCGCATCGCGGAGCTCTCGAGGACTGCGGATTCCAAGGTCCTTAATCATCGGTGCTTAACGTGTGACTTCTGGACTTTTGACCACACCAAAGTCAAGTCGCACTTTCGTCAGGCGCATCCTAAGGACTGGTCACGCCTACACAGGCGGGCTGTTAATATCTGTCAGGGCTACTCGCCCCAGTTAGCCAAGGGCCACTCATGTCCCTTCTGTGGCTACAAGGTCTATGACCGCAGACTGCATCCGGAGCAGTGTCCGGTGCTCTATCAGGTAAGCACGCAGTGGCTGCGAGGGCAGCCTGACGCGGACGTCGATCCCGTCGCCCCGCCTCCCAAGCCTCAGACAAAGTCGTTGGCCAGCTTTTTTAGACCTAGGTCGAATGGCACAGCCTCCAACTCGTCGAGCACAGCTCGTCATCCTACAACAGACTCGAACCAGGAGTCTGTGGCGCAGGCCCCCAGGAACACAGAGCCACAGCCTACAGGCTTACACAAACGCGTACTGTCTAACACGGCAAACTCCTGCTACGCTAACGCTCTCTTCCAGGCCTTGCATCAAGTATCGAGCTTTGGGTATGATCTGGGTGCTTTTCAATCTGTCTTAACCCATCTCGGGGATGAGAGTGCCCCTAGACTTCTGAACTTGTTCGGCCTGTTTGAATTTCGCCATGCCATTGCCGGTTGGCGACTAGATGGCAGGCAACACGATGTCTCAGAATTTCTTCACCATCTGCAGCAAAAGCCCATGGGATCCCTTCAGCACACTCAGTGGCAGGGTCGTACTGGGGGAATCGTTGAGGAGTCGGATGTGGGAGTCAGTCCTCTTCTCCTTCCCCTTCCGACGGGACCTCTGTCTCTCCAAGCCTGCCTAAGATTCTGGGAATCGCAAACTTTTAGTCGAGCGCTGGTATGGGCCCCAGAACTCCTAGCTGTTGTGATTTGCAGATGGCAAGACGGGGTCAAGAATACCCAGCCGTGCGCCTGGACCGGCCGTGCCATGGTGTCCGTGTGGACATCCAGCGAGCACACTGCCCAACGATCCTACCAAGTCCTGGCAGGAGTTGCCCACTTTGGGGACTCCCTAGCGTCCGGGCACTACCGAGCCTTCTGGCCAGAGGACCCCGCGGATGCGAGATCTCAGGTGTGGATTTGCGACGACTACAAGCTTCCGGAGAGGGCCTCAGCGGCCTTGGTTCAATCACTTTCCCGAAACGTCTACATGCTTTTCTTGCAACGAACTCGTTAGCATCATCGCTTAAGGCGATGCATGCCGGCCCAACCTCGGCCCTCAGGGCTAAGCAGGGCGCCCGTGCGTGAGAAGCCCGTCGTCAATTTCATGTTGACGCAGGCCGCCTCACGTCAAGGCCAAGTGTGTCATGAGCGCACGCGGACATGCACACTCTGTAATTTCCTTACTCTCAATCAGCTCTTTTTATTTAGTCAGCTTCCCCCCAGCTCCCTTTGGCCGTCATGACTGCCTCGCCTGCTACTGCCACGAGCCCGGAGCACAAGCATCTGTCGCAGCCGGGTTGAAATGACAACAGAAGGCAAAAGTTGCCATCGTTGTCAACCCTTCCGCCTCAAGCTTCGCGATGCTCTCATCCGACACCCCAGTGTCTTTGGCTCGCGCTTTGAAGGCTGCCGCGCTCTCCCCAAAGGACATGGCTCCTAGTGCTAGGTTCACTCAAGATCAGTCTAGGGCCCAGCACGCCTTGCAATCACTTTTAGCGTCGGCGAGAATGCCGCTCCCTAGTGCGCCACTTTTTAGTCCAGCTTAGTGCTGATTTGCTCTTGCCCCAATATGGGCGCTTCGGCTAAGCACCCATTTTAGTACGGGAGCAATTAGTAAATGTCACAGACTCCTCAAATCCCGTATGGCACAGCCTCTGGGAATTCGGTGCTCTTCCGACGCTTTTGCAAATCTCTTCGGGAGCTGTAGAGCAGCGCGCTAGCCACGGCAAAATGCAGGACACTGCACTTCGCCTGAGCCGATATGGTCAATCAGCTGTCGGCTGTTTGACTCACTCAGCTCTACAGGAAACCTACCCAGAATAACGGAAGCAGTCCGAGGAAAGCCAAGAGCATGAGCGTCGCTTATTGGGGGGTAGTCACGACAAGCACTCCGTGTCGTATGTAGGTTTACGCACATGTGACCCTTACGGCCTTCTGTCTCCAGCATGAGTAATGCGTGTGGGACGCCACAAGACGGATACTCTAGGCGCCGGCTTCGCCCGAAGTACGACCTAATTGCTGGGACAGGTGCACAGACGGACGCGTCTGTTCACAACAAGGTGGCGGAGGAGGAAGCCATAGATGTACAGTCTTACTCAACTGAGCAGTTTGAGAGGAATAAGAGCGATGAATGCTAGCAGATAACCAGTTTCACGAGTGCACGGGACCAAAGGCGCCCGCAAAGCGCAGAGCACGCTCGCGCAGCGTTCAATTGAAAATAGTAGTAGTAGTTGTAATAGTTGTAGTAGTTGTAGTGTAGTAGTAGTGGTAGTGGTAGTAGTGGTGGTAGTGGTAGTGGCATAGGCACCAGCGTGCGCAGGCAGAGGCAACAGCGCGCGCGCATTAGGCAACAGGCAACAGCGCGCGCGCAGCGTGCGCGAGCACAGGCAACAGCGGGTGCGAGCACAAGCAACAGTGCGCGCGCGCAGTGCGCGCACAGCGTGGGCGCAGCGTGGGCGAGCACAGGCAACAGCGCGCGCGCGCAGTGTGTGCGAGCACAGGCAACAGCGCGCGCGCAGTGCGCGCGCGGTGCGCGCGCAGTGTGTGCGAGCACAGGCAACAGCGTGCGCGCAGTGCGCGCGCAGTGTGTGCGAGCACAGGCAACAGTGCGCGCGCAGTGTGTGCGAGCACAGGCAACAGCGCGCGCGCAGTGCCCGCGCAGTGCGCGCGCAGTGTGTGCCAGCACAGGCAACAGCGTGCGCGCAGTGCGCGCGCAGTGTGTGCGAGCACAGGCAACAGCGCGCGCGCAGTGCGCGCGCAGTGCGCGCGCAGTGTGTGCGAGCACAGGCAACAGCGTGCGCGCAGTGCGCGCGCAGTGCGCGCGCAGTGTGTGCGAGCACAGGCAAGACTTGGAATGCCCGGTTTCTTATAAGTGTTTGTGATACTTAAGCGAAAATATAATGGCTTAGCAACAACATATAAGTCTGTGTTAAGTATGTATTAACTGGGTATTAAGTCTGTGCTATGCATATATATCTGTTATATGTTTTAACATATCTTGGTACTTTAATGGACCCGGTTTTAGCTAATGATTTAAAAGGATTATAGAGTTTGACAAGCTGGTAGTAACCGAGTAGTAACCTAATTATAACCCAGTAGTAAACTGTTATAAGTGTGATAAACGGTTATTGAAGTTATGTGGGATTATATAGAAGTTATAATTTTTAAGGAGTTTATACAAGAGGTTGTGATACTGTAGGTTATCTAAGTGGTTAAGCATAAAGAATGTAAGTCCTATAATGGTTATAATCGGGATTACATATCCACTTATCAGACACACACTACTGCCATTTTGCTGGGTCATGCTGTCTATATATTTCATGGTTGATATAGGCCCAGAGGCAAGTTGGTGTGCGATTGGAACCAGTTTTTCCCTTGACATGGCGGGATTGTGTTTCTGAATCCGCTTTACCATTGCATCCCATTTGCTGCCTGCATCAAGACAAGGGCTCGAAACCCCGAAAGCATGCAAAGCACAACCGCACAATGCAACACCAAGCTTGCATTGAGCCGGTGTGCTCCGGGGACATCTTTCAAAAATTTGCAATGGCTGTTCAAGGCCATTTAAAGTTGAGATCAAGTTTCACGTGCCCATGGCGGCGTTGTACGGTTCGTGCATATATGCAGGTGCAGCTCGAGCCAAGTGCGTTGGAGGCAGTGCACGCGTGGCACAGCGGACAGGACATGCAGAGGATGAATGAAGATGAGGAGGAGGACCATGAACTGCCCCGGAGGGGAACGAGCGCTGATATCCAGCGGGCATGCATGCATGCACACTTCTTCTGTGCAGTTTTGTATATAGCGCATGGATCGCGAAAGCTGTGCGGGATGCTTCTGCGTCCAGAGAGGAAAAGAAGAAGATTTAAGGTTTTATCTGAAATGAGTTTTATTGTTATATATATATATATATATATGTATATGCATATATGCAGGAAGACAATTGAAAGCCGCGCAATCGCATAAATCTTGCCGGTAGCAGCAAATGTTCAATTGTTCATGTGGAGCTGCATAGAGCCCAGAGGCTACAACGCCTGTGGAAGTTCAATTGAGCTTGATTGGAGAAGGGCTCCATGTTTGAAGGCTGAAGTGGAGAAGGGCATTCTGCATGTGCCAGTGCGGGAAAGAACGCATGCTTCCGCGCCGCTCCGTCAAGAGAGGGTAGCTGACGTAGTTGCATGCATGCCTTCACACACGCAGCAGCACGCATGCACAGCAGCAAGCACAGCAGCAAGCACAGCAGCATGCAGAGCAGCGCAGCAAGCATGGAGCAGTTATACCTCAAACAGTCGCTTCACTGCACTCTGAAGACTGTAACGCCTTGGGAGTTTACTGCACTTAGAACACTTCGGTCCCAGACCCTGGCAGGTCCCTGCAGTCTGAGGCTTGTAACTCCTTATAGAACGGCCACTCTGAGGCCTGTACGCACACACTTCAACATGCAGCATGTAACGCCTTAGGCAGCAACTTCACTGCACTCTAAGACCTGTAACGCCCATAGGACCGTGGCCTCGCGGAGCCATGGACAAGAATGTCGTGAAGGGCATGGTGGACTCCCTTGAGGAGGCGCGTGCAACGCGAACCTTGACCGAGAACGAAGAGCGCTTCACTAGCGAGTACCACCAGGAAGTGAGGGCACAAGCTGCCAGGAAGAAGGGAAGAAGTGCGCCCTCAGAGGCGAAGGAGGACGAGACACTTTCCGAGGAGCCCAGGGTGGGTGCTTTTTTCTATAGTATGTATATGTATATATATATATATATATATATATATCGCTGTATAAATATCGAAACTTGAAGCTAGAAATCCTCATACAAAATATAGAGCTCACTTCTATAGACCTGCTCAAGTCATTTCAGGTTTTTAAATACATATTATATAAGGTTACCTTAAACTAACCCTTTAAACCACCTAACAAATTTAAAGCATGTAGGGTTAATATGTGTATATATATATATATATGGGTTCGATGCCCGCAATACAAAATATCGCGAAGCCTTGAACCCTAAACCTATATAATCTTAAAAAACCAGCAAAGCCTGCATGCCAGGACCAGCCGACGAGTCCGAGGACGGAGCCCGACGCGGCTAAGGAGCCCAAGGTGGCTGAAAGGAAGGAGACGGAGTCGGAGGACAGTGCAGCGCCTTCGGTGGCGAAGCGGGAGGCGGAGCAGAGCTCGGAGGGCGAGAAGGCCAAGAAGCTGCGAAGGAGCGCCGTAGGGCGGAGCGGAGGGCGGAGTCCGAGGAGCGCCGACGCCGGCGGGAGGAAGAAGACCGGGAGCGCAGCAGACGCTTTGAACGGGAGATGGCGGAGTTGAGTGAGAGCATCCAGCGCCAGCGAGAGGCGGAAGCGCAACTATTTGCGGACCGGCTTCGCGAGTGGAGCGACACGCAAGATCGCTGGTGGCGCGAGGCGCAGGAGGAGAGGGCGCGCCGTCGCCGTGATGAGGAGGAGGAGGACCGTCGCAACCGAGGGCGCCGGGACCGGCGAGAGGACAGGATCGCTGGGATGATGGGCGTTATCGCCGAGACGACAGGCGCGATGATCGCCGGGGTGATGGGCGTGATCGCCGAGACGACAGGCGCGGCCATCGCGACCTTGGGCCTGGGCAGTGGCGCCGCTCTGGCGATGATGACACGGACGATGCTTGGTTTTTCTTCGTATACTGTTTTCGGGTTTGTTTACAAAATACTATATATATATATATATATTTATATTTATTTATTTATCCTAATCCTGCATATAGACCTTATAATGCGAAAACCTTATGCAACGTTTCAGCTTCAGCCTAAAACCTTATAAGCCCAAAACTATATACATAAACCCTGATATCAACCTTGAACCCCAAACCCCAAAACCCATAAACGCACAACCCTATATAGCCATCTCAGGACTCGTGGTATGGTGGCAGAGGGCGCTCTGGAGGAGCGAGCAGCAGCAGCGACCCCCGTGGCGGGAAGGGCGCCCGTGGTGGCGGCAAAGGAGGAGCGCGCCGGCCGCGATACGAAAGCTACGTAGGGCGCGAACACGAAGCTCCGGATGGAACTCCGTTGGATCGCCGCCGAGGGGGCGCCGTCACGAAGGTCGCCGTGCTGCTGGGCGCGTTTGAACGCGATGGCTTGAGCGCAGACTTGCTCGACATGGCAGAGCGCTTCCAAGACGCTTTAAGCGCGCGCACGACGCGGATTGAGGATGGGTCGTGGGCAGACAAGCTGCGGCGCTTAGTTATAGCGATCGAGAACCAGGACGAGGACATGGTTCAGGAGCTGCTTTACGACTACACCCACAGGTGCAGTTTCCTGCAGAGCGCCCTGGCCAACAAGAAGTGGGAGGATTGGCGGCGGCGGGGCTACGAGGATTAGGGCGTTTACCGCCAAAAGGGCGCCAGTCGCCGGATAGTGGGCGCATGTCGCCTTGTACAGCTTCCAGCAGCGCACACTTGCGGCCTGGGTTTACGGGCTTTATATATATAGCCAGATTAATACGAAGCACATAGGTATAATATATTATAATCTAAAATACAGCTGCAAGTGTGTGCCGCGACGGCAGAGCAAAGCGGAGCGTGACGCTTCAGGCTGCAAAAAAAAAAGAGTGCGCACAACAGGTTTAGGTTTTAGGGTTTAGGGTTGAGATTTTACTTTAATGCAATTGTTCAAATATTTGATTCATAAAACCCTAAACCCACAACGCTTGAACCCAAACCCTTAATCCCTTATCCCTAGGCTTGAACCGCTAAGCCTTAAACCCAAACCCTCAACCCTAAAGCCTTAAACCCCAAGCTGCCAACCCTAAACCCTAAACCCCCAAACCGTAAACCCAGACACCCAGCCGCCCACCCGCCCCCCCAGCCAGCCCACCACCCACCCATCCGCTCTCCCCTCTCCTTCTTTTTTGGGCGGGCTTCGGGGACGTGGGGGGGGGCGTGGGGGGGAGGCTTGGGGGCGTTGGGGGGGCGTGGGGGGGCGGGGGGGGGGGGGGGGGGGGGGGGGGGGGGGGGGGGGGGGGGGGGGGGGGGGGGGGGGGGGGGGGGGGGGGGGGGGGGGGGGGCGCGGGTTGGGGGTGTGGAGGCTTGGGGGCTGCTTGACGGGGCTAGGCAAGGCTGGGCAGGGCTGGGGGGAGCCGAAAATTCCAATTTATATATATATATATATATATATATTTATTGGAATTTCCGAAAACGGAAATTCCAATTTATATATATAAATTGGAATTTCCAAAAAAAAAATCCAATTTATATATATAAATTGGAATTTCAAAAAAAAAATTCAATTTATATATATAAATTGGAATTTCCGAAAACGGAAATTCCAATTTATATATGTAAATTGAATTTCCGAAAACGAAAATTCCAATTTATATATGTAAATTGGAATTTTCGGCTCCCCCCCAGCCTTGCCCAGCCCTGCCTAGCCCCGCAAGCAGCCCCCAGCCGCCCCACGCCCCCCCGACAAGCCCCCGCCGACCCCCCACGCCCCCCCCCCCCCCCCCCCCCCCCCCCCCACCGCCCCCAACCCCACCGCAAACCCCAGCCCCAGCCAAGAAGCCTACGCCCCCCAAGCGACCGCCCCCAACCACCATGCTGCAAATACCGCGTGAAAACAACGGCCACCACATCTGCGGGCAAAATCTGGCGGAAGTGATGCGCCACCGAGCAAAAAGCCTGTAAATACTGCATTAAACAAAGGGCCAAGGATTTCACGCATCTGTTGGCAACATCTGGCGGAAGTGAGCTGTGAATCACTTCCGCCAGATGTTGCCCCGTCAACAACCAGCACACCCTCACACCCACAACCCACGCCGCACATCATGCCGAACAACCGGCACAAAACATGCAAACCCACCCCGCGCCCATTCAACCAGCAGCCAACGCCCAGACACCCACAAACCCTAACCCTGAACTATAAACCCTAAAACTCCACCCCCCTAAACGCCAAACCCCAAACCCCAAGCCCCTAAACCCTAACCCTGAACCTTAAGCACCAAACCCTAAACCTTAAACCCCTTGAACCCCAAACCCTTAATCCCTTATCCCTATGCTTGAACCGTTAACCCTTAAGCCCCACATCCTCAACCCTAAACCCTCCAAACCCCAAGCCGCCAACCCTAAACCCTAAACCCAACCCTGAACCGTATAACACCCTATATAACCACAAACCCTAAACCCACACCCACCCGCCCACCCAAGCAAGCAAGCAGCAGCACGACAGCATCAACGTTAATGGCAACAGCAACAACAACAACAACAACAACAACAACAACAACAACAACAACAACAACAACAACAACAACAACAACAACAACAACAACAACAACAACAACAACACTAGCAACAACAGCAGCAGCAACAACAACAACAACAACAACAACCAGAAACTCATGTTATAGTGGTTCACCATGATATTTATTTATAGATGTTAGTTTTACATATAATTAACACTAAACAAAACCCTATTTAGTTCGTCATGTTGTAGGTCATTCTTGTTTCTACATGAGTATGATAAGTTGATTCACATATATCAATCTATGAATTGCAGGCGAACCGTAAGTATTACTGTATAATACTACAGACATAATTTAATGTTGGGGTTTATGCGGTCTATGGAGCCCAAGGTTTAGGGTTTAGGGCACGGGCAGCTGAAACCACAACTTTTTGGCTACTGGCGGACTTTGGACGCTGCTGTATACTGCCACACAGGACACACATCTGCTGGCTTTCGGTCGAAGTGATATACACTGCTTGCATGATCGACGTATAACTGCTCTTCCACGCCGCAGGTGTGGCCTTTAAGACTATATACAACGGCGAAGCACGCCCTCAAGCTACACGGCGGCAAACGCCCTTTTTAGACTCAGTCGCGGTAACCGCGCTCCCGGTAGCTCTGCCACTGACGATTCTGCATGGCAGCCTTGACAGGAGGAGCGTGCTTGTACTCCTCAACCATATAGCGAATCTCGCGCGCCTGGCTGTGACCAATCGCCGTGCAGAGGCGCCTGAGCTTGTCGCTCCAGCTGTTGGCCTTGACGGGCTCCACGCGTGCAGCGAGTTCATCCGAAAACCGCTCAGCCAGCTCCTTGAGCTCCCTCGCGACACCATCGCGCTCGTACGTGGCCAGCAACACAGCGACTTTTGTTGCGCCTCCGCCACGGTTCTTGTCCAGTGGCTGACCAACTTGTAGATCCACCTCACGGCCAACGTAGCTCTCGCGATGACCGCGCCCTTTGCCGCTCTTGCCGCCTCTGCGATCCGACGCACCAGCATTGTCCGCGGAGCGCTGCGCTCGCCCCCATGCCTCACACGAGGAAGCTGGAAAAAGGACATTCTGCCACGTTGGGCGCTCCTCCCGCCCCGTTGGGTGCTCCTCCCGTCCTGTTGGGAGCTCCTCCCGCCCCGCTGGGCGCTCTTCTCGCCTCGTTGGGCGCTCTTCTCGATCAAGGGGGCGCCTGTCCTCGCGCCGCTCCTCCCGCCGTGCACGGCGCCGCTCTTCCTCCTCATCCATGTCCTCGCGCTGCCTGCGCCTGTGTGTCTCGCGAAGATCGCGCATCCGCTCTTCGTGTTCACGCAGCTGCTCTTCCATTTCCACGCGACGAGCGCGCGCATCCTCCTCCATCCGCTTGCGAAAGCGTTCCCACTCCTCAACACCAGCAGCAGCAGCAGCAGCAGCAGCAGCAGCAGCAACAGCAAAACAAAAACACGCACACACACACACACACACACACCACAGACCACAGACCGCAGACCGCAGACAACAGACAGCAGACAAAAGACACCAAACACCAAACACCACCACCACCACAACAAGAAGAAGGTAGCACGCGCATCTGCTGCCGCGGGCGTGTGTTGTTCATTTTTTGGAGGTTCCTGGTCTAAAGTCTTAAAAGCCAGAGTTTTGTGTGGCTTTCGCGAACAAGACGATGTTTCGGAGCTTTTTTTCGTAGTAGTTTGGTCTTGTTTTTGAGGTTTTTGCGAACGTGTCGCAAATACCGTGCTGTCCGTCCTTTGATTTTGTTGACTTTGAGGGTCCGTTGCGAAGTTTTGGTCTCCACGTGCCCTGACCTGTGTGCGGAGCTGTCCTGTGTCTGCCTGGCATCCATGTACCGCCTCAGGTCCTCGTGCCCTTCCATGCGCAGGATCATATCCTCGAGTCTCTGCCAAGCCTGATCCCAAGAAAAGCTTTCACAGCCCATATGCAATTTTGCAAGTGTTGTTGTCCTACCTCCTTGTTGTTTTGCTATTGCAAATAAGTTGCCGCAGGAGTTTCAGGAAGCCGAAGCCGTTGTCGCTTCCTCGAAGGCTCGCCTTGCTCTGCGCCGGGGTCTTGTAGATCGCTCAAGCCCAGGACTTCACCCTCAGCACATTCGTTTGCCTCGACGCCGGAGTCAGCGTCCCAGATTTGTGCGTTCATCCGCCTTAAAGGGCAGGCTACTGCTGCAGTTGGAGCAACGCCGTCCCTGATGCGTGTGTTCATCCGCTTCAGGGGGCAGTCTGCCATGAGAGCCTACAACGGTCAGGCAAGGATCAGCAGCCGTTTCCTGGAACACGGAGCCCGAGAGCGAGCTGCAGTTTGCAAACATGATGCAACAACTTACAGTCACCCATCCGTCATCCATCCAAATGTGTTGCTTCATGTGCAAGAACGTGTTGAAGCAGTGAGCAATGTAGCCCCATGTCTGTAAAAACTGAGACCCTGGCAGAGAATGCCCTCGGAGTCCGCCTTGCCCTCGTGGGAGTCCGCCTACCCCGGGGGAAAGCGGACTCCCATGCCGAAACCCGAGTTTTAAGCAGACCCAGGTTTTTACGAGAGCCTCGATGACTTGATGTCACTCTCTCAGTGACGAGAAAGATTTGCTGTCACTCTCTCAGTGACACCCCTTGCCGAGGTTGCGGCCGAGAAGGTGGACTCAGGGCCCGAAACCCAGGTTTGAAGGAGCACCGATTGCTTGATGTCACTCTCTCAGTGATCAGGAAAATTGGATGTCACTCTCTCAGTGACTAGAAAGGTTTGGTGTCACTGTCTCAGTGACCAGTCTGATACTGCAAACTCAGATAGTACTATTCCGACCACACAGAGGCCAGCACCGTGTGGCTTTCCGGAGCCAGGCATTCAAATCGGCCTGTCAGTCAGCGCAGGCACGCCTTCATGTCACTTCTGGCCACACCGAGGCCAGCACCGTGTGGCCTTGCGGAGCCAGGCGCTGAAAACGGCCTGTGAGTCAGTTCATTGTGTCATGACGTCGGTGCGACCACTGAGAGAGTGGCCCACCCATCGCCGTGACAGCCGCTGAGAGAGCTGCTGTTGCTGTGCAAGACTAAGCATCAAAGCAGCACTCTCCCAGTGCTGAGCTGAGGCCGAGAATCAACACT